AAATCCTAAAAATAAGGGTTTGCTAATTCACAACATACGCCCAACATACATATCATATGCCCAACGTACGAATGTGCTTCCCCCATATCCAAGTCAGGTGAGTATGCTGCGCTTACCCACATTATGCCCAACGTACAAATCCCCTTTCGTTGTCAACACTTAACCAAAAATGCCAATACATAATATCTCGCAAAATGGATGTTATAGGAGATTCTTTGTAATGTCCAAAATTTCATTTTTAAAATTAGATAAATCATTCGAATGCATAGATAAAAACTCATTTGCTTAGAAATCATTAAAACCAAAAATCCAAAATCAGAGTAATAACTATCACATCGGAAGTCTCAAAAAAATATCAACATCGATGCGAATGTGGTACACTCATACTAAGCTCTTCCCTTTATCAACAAAACTACTTGAAAAACATTTAATCAACAATTCTAAGCACAAATATTAGTGAATTTTCTAAGATACAATACACTCCAATACGCATACAATGCATTCAAACCAATATCTAGCAACCTCACAATGTTCTACCTGACTCACACCCTAGCGTCGTTCCATTATCAAAAGTGTGTGTATATGCTCACAACCTAACATTGTTCCATCATCGACTCCTCGAGGTTCTTTTTCCCTAACATCTTCTCATTTCCTGTAACTCGCCTAAAAGATGATTCAACTGACTATGGTTATGTCTAATGAGATTGTTTTAATAAACTCAAACAGATCTAAGACACTCGACATCAGATTTTCAAGTTCTTCTTCTCCAATAGGCTTTTCCCACCAAATTTGCAATCCAACGTGATTATTACACTTGTATCTTGATCTAAAATACAACATGATTATGAAGATCACAATCTAACATAGAAGACGAAGACGATAGACTTTTTAAAAATCAAGTTTTTTTTTTTTTTTTTTTTTGGATTTTTCAAGATTTATTTTATAAAGTTTCTTGATTTTACTGGATTTGATTTCATCAAATGCTTAGCTTGCATATGTGATTTTTTTTTTAATTTAACTTATTGTGGTTGTTGGAGACGGTTGTTTGTGGTTGTCGGATGTGAGCCTTATGGGATGGCTTCAAGATGATTTCATCAAATTTTAAGTTGCAAATTTGATTTATATGGATTTTATTTAATGAGGTGGTGGTTGTAAGGTTTGGGGTTGTGGTAGATTGATGGATCATAGTAATAAATAATAAAATAACTGAATGAATAATAAAAACAAAAATAACAAGCAAATAATAAAAATAAAGTTAAAATAAATTAAAGAATACCATATTTGTCTTTTCAATTTAGTCGGGGACTTAAGATGAATCAGAACCAAAGCATCGACCCGAGTTATAAAAAAAATTAAAGATGAAACTTGCAAAATGTCTTATAAATAAAAAACTATTTTTTGTCGGTGGTAGAGGTGGTGGTGGCGGCAATTATGGCGACAGTGGTGATGGAGGTGACAGTCATGGTTGTGTTAGTCGAGTGGCGACGATGGTGACAACGACATTAACGGTGTAAAAAAAAAATGTTTATCAAAATCAAAAACTGAGATAAAAAATAAAAAAAAAAAAAAAAAAAAAAGACAAAACTACAAAAATGGTCTCTGTGGTTTTCGAAAATATCAAGTTTAATCCTTAAGTTCAAAAAATCTCACAGATGGTCCATGTGGTTTCAAAACTTTTAACATTTGGTCATTCCGCCTAACTCCGTCAGCTTTCTACCGTTAAGCAAGGAGGATTTTCATCATTTCAATACACAGGGACTATTTATGAGGTTTTCTCTATTTTATATATATATATATATATATATATATATATATATATATATATATATATATATATATATATAATTATTTAATTAAAGGGCCCCACCCTCTCTCTCTCTCTCTCTCTCTCTCTCTCTCTCTCTCTCTCTCTCTCTCTCTCTCTCTCTCTCTCTCTCTCTCCTGATTTGTGACCCCATCTGCAAAAAAATAATCCCTATGTCTTTTTCACCATTTTCTTTTTACCATTGTTGGATCATTCTAACTTCAAATGAAATCCGGTTAATAAGTTTCGATCAAATAATCACCCACATCATCTTCTTCCTCGTTACTACGACCCAAAAATAAAGAAAATCCCAAATATATTTTCCCTCTTCCTCTCTCATACACTATCTCATCTCACTTCCATCCTTAGTCCTTTAATCTTTTGTTGCCGGAAAAAGCTTAGTCACTAATGATCAACAATAGAGGAGTCAGTTAAGGTTTTGTTTCTCAATCAGGTTTATCACTTCCTCAGGCTTTTGTACATCGTGAAATCAACAATCAAAAACACCCACATCAAAAAACATTCATTTTTATCAATACTTACTGTAACACCCTGAGATTCAGGCATTCTTCTTTCATCCTTGTTCTTTGTGATTGGTCACGTTTAGTCCTTGAGTGAATTTTTATTTAGCAAGTGAGTACGCTGGGCGTACCATAGGGGTACGTTGCGCGTACTCAAGCGCTTAAAATGGACGTATTATTGCCAAGGTACGCTGGGCGTACCAAGAGTTACGTCGGGCGTACCCGGCCCAGGTGCAAAACCCTAATTCTGTTTTGTGCACTATTTAAAGGGTGCCAAGGCTCATTTCTCAGCCTCCATATCAGTGAGTGAAACCCTAAAAGAGAGCCCCATCGTCCTTAGTGTGCGAGAGTGTTGATTTGAGCTTTTTGTGCCTTGGTGAATTAGTGAAGAAGAAGGAAAGGAGTTCTTGGAAGCTAAAGCTTAAGGTGCCATTTTGGATCTGAGATCTACAGAGCAAGGGACTACACTTAGAGGTATAAAGTTCAAAACTTTCCTCTTCTTTTGATTTGTTGTTGCATGTGCTTTTGCTATGGCTAAAAACCCCAAAGGTGGAGACTTTATGAGTGTAAAGTGCTCCATGGTCCGAGATTTGTCATCATTCAGTGCTATTAGTGATTTAGAGCCATAAAGCTTCCATCTTTAGTGATTAGTTTGAGGTCATGCTTGAGTATAAGCCTTTCTAGAGTTAAAGGATGGAACATTGTGAGAGTTGGTGACTTATCGAGCCATGAAAAGGCATAAAGCCATCAACTTTATGGATTAAGAGGCTTATATGTGGTCGGATCTAAAATTTGGACGTGAGTCTTAACTGTTTAAGACCTAAAGAGTTAAGGTGCTAAAGATAGGAGTACGTCGGGCGTAATCCCAGTACGCGCCGCGTATTGGGTGGCGTTCCCCGATCCTGAGAGGCAGCCAGGTACGCCCAGCGTACACATCTGGTACGCGCAGCGTAACCCGGCAAGTTGGCTTTTGAGTTGACTTTTAGGGTATGGTCTATTGTGGGGCTTTTGAGTTGTGAGAGGGGTAAAATGGTCTTTTACCCTTCTGAGAGTGTCATAAGAGGACATAGTATAGCCTTTGAGAGTTATAACAATTAGGGTATTTATTTTGATTAGGCGGAGGTTAGAACAGCGTTACCGAGTTAGAGATTACCGAGATACCCGAGGTGAGTCTTCTCACTATACTTTACCTAGTGTGGTAACAGAGTTATGTGATAGAGTATTTTAGAGTTATATGCCAGTGTAATTGCATGTTATTTATGTGTTATGATTTATTATGATATGTGCTATGCATGATTCAGAGTTATAGAGTTAGGACTTTCGGATCCACAGAGTTAGGGCCAGAGGGCCCATAGAGAGTTGGGGCTGGAGGGCCCCACTGAGACACCTAGACCTGAGGGTCAACAGAGTTACAGTCTCGAGTGGCTATTATGTGTTAGAGTGGTATTTTGGGGAACTCACTAAGCATTTATGCTTACAGTGTTATATGTTATGTGTTTCAGGTACCAGTGATGATCGCGGGAAGATGCCGGCATGATTTGTACACACGCACACCGGAGTTTATGTATTTTGATCTTGGGTTTTGTACTGATACAATGTTGACACAATGTTTTTATTTATGATTACAAATGATATTTTATGGTTTCCAGAAGTGGAAAATTGTTCAAATTTTTACGGTGTTACACTTACATATAAAAAGATTCAGTTGTTTGGTTCACTTGAGTAAAATTTGTTGAAATCTTTTAGTATATCAACAAAATGGGGCACCACAATAAATTTCTTTGGTTTGCAACGAACTCCTATTGGATGTATTTCCCATGTTTTTTTATTGATTCTTTGGTGAGATGTACTCAATTGGCTACCTTTAAATCTTTAGGATTTTCTCTTTCATGGCGAATACCTGGTTATGACAAAATCTTCTTGCACTCCAGGTGCTCGACCTTATGTCTAGCTTAGTCTTCGGTTCAATTCCTCTGTCAATTGGTTCATTCTTGTCTAGGCTTTTAGAAATTCCAGTAGATGGAAACAAGATAATCAACTTGATGGTGGGTGTTTCTCGGTTGTTCATCTGTTAGTGAGGTGAATTGTGGGGAATGTGAGACGAAGGTAATGATTCGGGAGAGAGAGATATAGAGAGGGAGAAGTGGGCCCTCTCATATTTTTAATAATTAAAATGAATAAATAATTATTAAATTTAAAAAAAAATGAATTTAAAATAGAAAATAAATACCCAAGCTAGTAAAATCATTTCAATTTTTGAGAGAGAGAGAGGGGTGGGGCCTTTTAATTAAATAATTATATATATATATATATATATATATATATATATTTTAAATAGAGAAAACCTTATAAATGGTCCCTGTGTCTTGTAATGAAGATCATTTGTTAAAAGTTTTGAAACCACAGGAATAATTTATAAGATTTTTTGAACTTAAAAACTAAACTTGATATTTTCAAAAACCAAAAAAACCATTTTTGAAATTTTGTCTAAAAAAAAAAAAAAAAAAAAAGTATGTTTTATGTTTTCTTATAGTTTTTTTCTTAAATATCTTTCCACATGAAGTGAAAGACTTTAAAAATAATAATAATAAATAAATAAAAATAAAAATAAAAATAACCGTACACTTTAGCAACGAAATTCACCGACCAACACCAAAATAAACATCGGCGGACTCCAGCGGTAATCGGAAAACCGTTGGCGGCCGCTAATCTACTCAATAAACTATTCCGCCGTTCTTATGTATGCATACAGTGCTTATATATGGGTTTTATCGGGTTTCCGAGATTTTTCGGTGAAATAGAAGATAATGGCAAGGAATCACATTCATAGCAGTAAACAGATTTCCACAAAATCAACAGTCCTGTTGTTGTTCGCTAGTGTTGTTGCTGGTGGCGCATTGATTTTCTATTATTTATGGGCTTCTTCTTCTTCCGCTGTTTATACCTCAGTTCATTATAATTGGATTCGCGAGAAAAATGATCTAGTAACCCTACCAAATTTCTCCAACGAGACTAATAAGGTCAGATACTTCCCCACTTTTCGTATTTTTTATTTTACTTTATTCATCTAATTAATGATGTTCTAAAATCGAACCTTCCATTTTGCATACATTTTTTATTTCCCTCTTGATATTTGTGTTATGGTCTTGATATAGAATCATCTAATTAGTAGTATATTGAAAGTTGAAACAAGGATCTCGTATTTATTGTAATTTTTTATGTAGATTGCAGAATTTAAAAATGAGAAGCATAAAAATAAAATCCCTGAGAGGTTACTATCAGGAAGTTTTGCAGATTTAGACGCACCAGAAACCAAATGGGAAGAAATGGCTCCGGCACCTGTGCCACGTCTTGATGGTGCTTCAATACAGATCAATCACCTGTTTTATGTGTTTTCTGGCTATAGAACCCTTGACCATGTAACGCAATCATTTATATATAGCCTTTATGCAAAAGCAAAACCCATATTCGTTAAATTTGAATTTGGTTGTAGGTACATTCCCATGTTGATGTATACAATTTCAGAAGCAACAAATGGGAAGAAAGCTTTGGTACACCAAAAGAAATGGGTAATTCTCATTTAGGAATGGCAAGCGATGGAAGATATATATACATCGTCTCGGGGCAACGAGGTCCTCAGTGTCGAACTCCTCCCGTCTCTCAAACATTTGTGCTGGACACTCAAACAAGAAGCTGGGAGTCTTTTCCACCATTACCACAACCTAGGTTTTTTTTTTTTTTAATAATATTTATTCGTTAAAGTTGAATAGTTTGACCTAATTTAATTTCCTTTTCAGGTATGCTCCGGCGACTCAAGTTTGGAGGGGTAGGCTTCATGTGATGGGTGGTGGCAAGGAGAATCGGCATACACCAAGTACGGATCATTGGAGTATTGCGGTGAAGAATGGGAAAGCTTTGGAGAAAACATGGAGGAATGAAGTGCCCATACCCCGTGGTGGTCCACACAGGTAAACCATGTATTGATTTGATGTGTAGTTATTTATTTAGCCCATTAAGTCAATTAGTCAAAAGGGAAGGAAAAAGAGCGTAATTAATATTTATGTTTGTTTGTAATTTGGATAGAGCTTGTGTTGGTGTTGGGGATGCGCTGTATGTTATTGGTGGTCAAGAGGGTGACTTTATGCCCAAACCAGGCTCACCTATCTTCAAGTGTTCACGCAGGCATGAGGTAGGTAAGACCTCTTCTCTTGTATTCAACAAGTCATATCAAGGTAAAACTGAAGTGTTGTTCAAACTTCAAACCAATTAATTACTTTACAGGTAGTTTATGCCGATGTTTACATGTTGGATGATAAGATGAAGTGGCATACATTGCCACCAATGCCAAAGCCCGATTCACACATAGAAGCTTCATGGGTAATTCTAAACAATTCCATTGTCATTGCTGGAGGCACAACCGAGAAAAACCCCATAACAAAACGAATGATTTTGGTTGGAGAGCTCTTCCAATTTGATATCAACTCAAAGGTATAAATTGTAGTTGATTTTTTTTTACAAAAAATTGTTTTGAAACTTTGATCTTTATCTGAGATTTTTGTAATGTTTTGGCCCATTCCAAGAGAAACCTTTTTGGGCCCAAAATTAATTATACTTATGATTTATGACTTATGAGTTATGTGAATGTAATGTATACAGAAATGGCATGTGATTGGGAAGCTTCCTTATCGTGTAAAAACCACACAAGCAGCTTACTGGAATGGATGGTTTTATATCACATCTGGTCAGCGAGACAAAGGACCCGATAATCCACAACCAAAGAAAGTCGTGGCTGACTTATGGCGCACAAAATTGAGCGACCTTCTTATACACTAAATTTAAACCTTTTTTTTTTTTTGCACATTATAGTTTTCACTAGTTAGCATTTAATCAAGCGTGTATCATTTGGTTCCCCCATTTTGAATCATAGTTTTTTTTTTTTTTGGTAAAAGAAAAAGGCTGTACAAGGCTAAAAAGGTATGCCGGTTGTTTTTTGATTGGGCATATCATGTTTACTTAACAACACAAGTGACAATTGTAAATGAAAGATAGAGGCGATTTTGAGATTTTTCATCTTAGTAGAGGGGCATAGGGAGCTGGGCATGGAGATTGAGAGAGATCTGGTAATTCATTTATGAGATCAACAGTTGCCTCCAAGCATTTGTTTAGTATTCTCTTCTCACACCTCAGCAGCTGTGTGGCTACTCGTTTCCTTGGATCGATATCACATTCTCCCAACTGAATTTCCACATTCCTTGGTTAATTAATTCCATCTAATTTAAACTTATTGCCAAAAAAACAAAAAAAAAAAAAAACATTATTAAATATTAGAGATTACCAAGGCTTCATCTTCGCTTAGAGTGGTGGGGTAACCAGACAATCTTTCTCTGAAGTATGTAGCCAGCTGGTTCAAAACAGCATGTTCCATACAAGGGCTCACCTGGTAACACAGAAATAGTAAAGGGACTGAAACTGTAAATTGAGATTATTGAACTAAAGAAGGACTTACGGGACATACAGGACCCTGAGAGGATATAACCGACTGCATCTCTGAAGGATCTGAAACATAACCCAGCCTCATATATGGAAGCATATCTAAAACAGTCTCTCTTTCTTTCCCCACATTAACCTAACAGACAGGGTTAGGGTATCTATCAACAGTCGATCACAGAAACAAACTATGGAGCTGCTTTTTTTTTTTTTTTTTTTTCTCAATTAAGTCTTGTATAGGTAAAGTGGCTGAATAGGTAACAATGCAAACCATCTAAATGACCGTTTTACCCTTGCACTCCAACAACCAATTTTCACAATATTCATCAGTTTTAATAATGTCAAAGTAGTTGGGAGGAAAAAAGAGGTAAATGGTTGGTGTCTTAATACATTAAGCCAGGGTGTTTAGCTTAACCATTTAAAAAGAAACATAAAGCATATAAGTTAAGTGAGTTGTACCTGGAAAGTTTGTATGGTCAATTTTCCATTTCGTTGAGCAACCAATCTCTTTTCCTGGTATTGAGGATCCTCTGTGTTCAATGCTGCCTGGAAGCAACATAGGTAAGAAGCAAAAAAACTAAATATATCATTATGATGACAAGTTGAAACTTCACCTCCACCATCAAGCGATCATAAGTGTTATCTTCATCAACAAAACCATAATTGATGAGTAATTTGGAATTAGGTTGTGGCCCACACCTACATACAAAATCAAAATGTTTCTACTTTCTTCTGAATATAATCCAAAACTAAAAGGAAGATACATACCATACTACAATAGACTGTCCGGCTATATATGGGCGATCAACAACCAACTGGACAGCTCCATCCTCTGCAGCTGTTAACATGGCCTTGCAATTGCTCCTGTACCCCAACAGAGGAGGTCCAAGAGGAACCAATGCAAACCTTCTTGCCAAACTCACTTTCTGAAATTTTACACCAACCATTGCATACTTAATAACAGAACCCAAGGCATAAAACATATGCAAATGGTAGGCAAACCTGTAAATGCACCACACAAGATTGAACTGCTACAAAAGCTTGTTTGAATATCTCAAAAGAAAAGGCCTCTGTAGGGATATCAAATGGATATTGCTGCTCAAACAAGAACCAAAAAAAGGTTAATCAGAGTCAGTCAGTCGTGTGACATGAAGAATCCAAATCTACACAAACAAAACTAAAACCATTCCAAGTAATAACTAAAATGAACAAGGAAAAAAAAAAAAAAAAAAACTGAAAACCTGAAATAGGGATCCAGCCATGAACCAGACAGTGTCAAGCTCATTATACTCTTTTCTGATGCCTTCTGCTCTTTCAACAACTTCAGCCTGATAGGGAGGGATGTATGTGTAATGTGTTAGGGGTGTATATTCTTAAATTCAGAACTTAGGATAGGAACAGATAGATACCTTTATTGGACTTCCTGTAAGATAATTGAGCTCAGATTCAGACCATAAGAGTGGTGATTCAACAGCTAGCTGTCCCCTACCACGCTGACGATCAAGCTCTTTGATATATGGGTACCAAAAAGATTCTTTTCCTTGTTTTTTCTCGTACATTAGATACAACGCAAGGCAAGCTAACTCTGATAGTTTGTTTGTGGTTAACAGTTCCGCTGCAACATAGATTAGGAAGAAACTTCTACTCATAACAATGATCTATAAGACAGAAGGAGGGTAGTTTATCTGACTATCACTCAGATGTAATGACGTATCTAGATCATGATCAAGTTGTGTACTCAATTGAGTGCATCAACTAATAATGCCAACCATACGCACATCCAATAAAGAAAGCCTTAGTAAAATTGAACAGCATCTTACCGACGGTTTCATTCCCCAAAACTCTCTCGAGTGTTACAATCAACGAACTCGGAACAGAAAATGCAATATCACCTGCCTACATTACACACAGCTAGATCATCAATTAAACTTCAACTAATTCAGGTAAGAAAATCAACACAGCAACACCTGCCTGTAAATCCTCGCTTGCGGCGACGTAATGAATGGAAGGATGTCGTGAATCATACGCCTGCCTGTCTTTGAGAACTACCTTACACGGAGGTAAACCATTCTTGTGCATCCAAGATTTCAAGTCTTCCTCCTCTTCAAACTCTTTATCTTTCTTGCTGGCAACCGTGGGAGAAGACGACTTCCCGGAGACAAGTGTATCGGAGCTCGATGCCAGACACATGTTCCGACTCCGCCACCGAAACGAACGACGAGCATTATGCTGGTAATCTCTCGAATTTATGAATGCTACCTTAGAAGGAACGGAGACAGGGCGATTATGAGTGGAGGAGTAAATTGGATTGAAACTGAATACGCATTTGGTTTGTTGTAGATAAGCGACGTCCATGATGATGCTATTGATCTGGTTCAGTCAGAAGCCGGATGGAAAAATGGAAATTAGGGTTAGGGCTTATGAGATTGAAGAATTTGTAAGGCAAATTGTGAAGATTTTGGTGGGTCTGATGGGGATATTTTGTTGGTAGCGTTCAGTTGTGTGCAAGGAGGAGGATAAGGAGAAGCTGCTAAGTGCTAACTTCTTCGGCAGTATTTATCATTGGAGGGAAATCTAACACTGTCTTCTCCAATTTCTTTTAGTTTTTTTTTTTTTTTTTTTTGTAAAGGAAAATCCAAGAAAACAAAAAGAGAAAACCATCTTCTCAAACTATTGTATCAAAATTTTATTGCTCAAAATATACTTTTAATTCTTGAAAAAATAAAAAAGTTTTATAAAATTTTAGGAGCCTAAATGCAAGAAAGAGTAATGTATTTGTAATACTGTACTTGTATTATTTCTTATTATATATTGTATTTCAACTTATTTCTTACTCAAACATTATATATATATATATATATATATATATATATATATATATATATATATATATATATATATATATATATATATATATAAGACTTACTTTTTTGTTATTATCCTAACGTGTATCCTGCTAATGATCAAATACGAAATATGTATGAAGTATGAATAAAAATTATAAAAATTCATCAGTGTTTTTATCCTACTTTCCCTTGAACTTGAAAAAATTGGCAGCTTTAAAATCTTTTTCGTTCATATTCATTATTCAAGAATATAAAATAATTTTCATTTTCTTTTCTCTATATTCTCCGAAACAGAATTTAAGCAACATAGTTTAAATTTAACATGTTATACAATACTCCGTATTTGATTGCATAGAAAATCTGATAAAAAAAACTTTACGTACTCACAAATGAGGCTTACAATACATTCTTACACTGCCACCAACGCAGTCCTACATCACACAGAATTGCATATACATATATACCATACTCTCCATACATGGGAGGCACAAACATAACATGAGTACACGACATAACATAAATTTCTGCCAATAACAAATACACACACAGGTCTTTTTGGGTTGGTCTAAAAACACATGCTAGCCATAAGATTTAAAATTGTTGGCATAAATAATATGAAGAAAAAATTTGTGACGGTTTCAATGTTGAGAAATATAAAGAAAAGTTGATAAGATTTTTAAATGACAAAATATGTTTAACATTCAACGTTTCATTTATTGAATACAAACAGAAACAGAAAACAGAAGAAGCTAATGAAAAAAAGAAAAAGTTGGTCTGGAGGATTTGAAGTAATAAAGTTGCGTTGGTGTCTTGGAATGAATCAAGCAGTGGGTTGTGAGTTGTGTGTCTCATCTCTCTTTTTACCTTTGCTGATTTTGTTAACACCTTGTTGTTGTTGGTCTGCCTTTTTTTGTGCTCTAATGACGGCCCGCCTTGCCCGTGGACGCATCTCACGGACCTGTCTAGGTGGCATCACATACGGTTGGAGCGGCTTGTCCCCAAATGGGTGCTCACTGTCCGGGAATATTCTCAGCTTAAGATCTCTGTCCTGAGAATGAAATGGAATGGAATGAGTGATTACATTCCATGGACCATGTCATGTCATGATTGGTAATTAATAAATTAAATTGTTAAGTACTGAGACTGACATCACGAAGTTTATTTCTTGGGAGCATGCGAAGGACAGCTTTGCGGATGACTTCTGTAGGATCCTTGGCCATCTGGTCCTTTAAACTCCTTTCTTTCAGGTGCCCAATATACCTGTCACATCACATCAAAACATCACTTCACTTATTAATTTTAACATTTTGTCGGGTGTAAAATAATGAATATGACATTTACCCTTACCCAGTGTGCCATCGGTAAAATTTGTCAGTAAGTTTTCTCCCAGTGACAGCGATGTGTTTAGCATTAAGGATAACACAGATGTCCCCATCATCACGATTAGGTGCATATGTAGGCTTGTCTTTTCCTTGAACCACTGTTGATATTTGTGATGCTAATCGCCCTAAAACCTGAATTTACTACTTCCCGTTAACATTTCTTAATCAGATTGTCAGATCAACTTTTACTCAAAACACAAACCTGGCCCTTCGCATCAAACACTCTCCATCTCAATCCTTCCAAATTGATGCGTCTTATACCAGCAACTGCTTTCTGCAACATTTTCAAATTCTCAAACTCCCAATTTAACTAACAAAACAAGCTATCCCAATACTATTACTTTTCCTTTCCAAAATCAACTTGTCTTATGCTTCCCAATTGACAGTTTACCAACCAACAAAAGCCAAAGAATTGATCATCTAAAACTCATTTATTTGTCATGGATTGGGAAACAAGATTTTGGAGCTTTGCAAATTGTTTTTTCAACTATAACATGATTATGATCAGAGAGGATTTCCAAAATTTCTATTTGTTGATAAAACTTCAGCTTTGAACCTTGAATCAACTTGTCGTAACTATGTAAAACCAATGAGAATCAATACTACAGATGGATGTTTCACATACTATTAAGCTTAATCAATAGATTTGCGAAAGAAGGTCATAACCAATCAAGCCGGTGTAGTACAGTGTTATTGTATACTCTAAAGAACTCACAATCAACATATTCAAGGATATTGAAAACGCTTGAGCTAAAGGTTGCAGAAGAAAGTATCTAAGTATCGGACATCACATACGAATTACATTCAAACAGTGTATGAATTTATCCAGCGAATATAGTTAGAAGATAGGGAAATGAGACAAGTGTACCTTGAGGTTGCCACTGAAAGCCTGAGGTGCCACCGACATTTTCTAAAACAAAATCTGGTTGACCTAAAACCCAAATCAAGAAGAATCAGAGAAATGTATGATTATGGAATGGAACATAAAACCAGCTAAAACCCTAGGGATTTCGACTTTCGAGTGACGTTTGGAAGGCTCTGTCGATTTGGGTATTAGGGGGGAGAGAGACGATCGTATATGAAGGAAAGGCCAAAAATGTTATTTTACTTTCAAAGTTGATCCTAGAAAACAAATTAGCATATTTTTTAAGCCCACTACCTTCAAAAGTTTTTGAGGCATTGGGCCCTTGGGGGCCTGTATTGGCGATTTGGTTTGGAATTGCAAATGCCCAAAATAAAATTCAACTCGGTTTAAATTCAACTTGAACGAAAACCGATGACCCAATTTAAATTTTTAATTTTGGATTTGGTTGAATCAATATCATGGTCCAATTATTATACACGGTGACAAAATGATTGGGAAAACATTAAAGACGAGACGTAGTTATTATATAAATATATTAAAGGAGGTTCCAATTGAATAGTTTTTGCTATTGATTGGATCAAAATTTATTTATTTTTATTTTTATTTTTTTTAATTTTCTTTTGGTTTGAAATAGCGCTTTCCAGATGGTGACATTAGCAGAACTACGTCTTAGGTGCTGTTTGATTTTCTGAAGCAAAAAGTTATGAAGTCTGCGGATCACTTCTGCAACCCTCTGCAGTAGAAGAGGTGGACCAAACGACTGCAGACTATAATAAAAAGCGTGTTTGTTTTTTTAACATCTACATACTGCTGCAAATATTAAAAAATTAAAATAAACTAATATTATAAACCGAAAATAGCTTTTTAATACGTAAAATTTAATAATGTATAACATTTCGGTAAAAATTAATGATATTTCAGTAAAAAAGAATGATATTTCAACTAAAAATAAAGATATTTTAGTAAAAAATAATGATATTTTATCAAGAAATTATCATTATTAAATATAAAAAAATGAAAAATAAATTCAATAAGAATAAACGGAAAAAAAAAACGGAAAAAAAAATGTGAAATAAAATTTTAATAACCTATAATCAAAATTTCAGCAATAAAAAAAGATGAAGAATATGTTGGAAGAGGTTAGAAGAGGCGGTACAAGTGATGCGCCAAACAGAGCCTACGCAGAGGTTTTTGACTCAGAAGACTTCTAAAAAACAAACAACTGCGAGATGAAAAGTGTTGCGCGTGTGCTGCGCCACGCAGCAGTAAGAGGTTTGAAGAGATTTTTTCCAAAAAACAAACATCACCTTATTGTCTGCTCCAACCTCCTGCTGCTTCCAATTGCATAAGGCCAACAAATGATCTAACCATTGCCAGTATTCTCCAGATTCTTCTCCATCCTTCCCACCGCTCCACCATTATCTCTCCTCTGTCAATGTCAAATGAGAGACCATTTTTTCTGTCAGCGAATCTTCCATTTTCTCCGCATTTCCCCTATTCTCTTCTACACCATCGATATTATTCGAAGCCGCCATCACCACCGCTCCACCAAATCGTCATCTCTACTCCTCTAATTTCCTCTGCCGTCTAAAAGCGACCGCTTACATCGCCACCAATCCCTCTACTTGAAGGGGTTTATATTCCGATCAGGGAGGAAATCGTTGTTGAGAAAGAAGCTTCTGAGAGTCTCACACGTATTATTGTTCATGGCTCCCTCCACTGCTCGCCATGGAGATTCCCTTTTCAGCTTCCGTTGATTCCTTCTCTTCAACAACACATGCTCGCTGTCGGCTTCCAGGTCCCTTCAGGCCTCTCTCATCTACTGCTTCCAGGTATCAAGTAGTCTGATTAACTGATTCAAATACCATCAGGGAACATTAGGGTTGGTACTTATGCAACATCATATTTGTATACAACATCATACCCTATCCCCTGTGTTCCTGTCGTTGGCCTCGTGCCCCAATTAATAGAATTTTGGTGCTTTATTGTCACTCCCTCTTCTATCTGCTTCATCTATCTATGAGTCCAAAGAGTCTTAATTGCGTTGTTCATGTGTGTGGTTGTTTCTCATCACATGTGAGAATATCTTATTCTTGCTCACCACATGTTTGATGAAATGCCTCAGAGGAACTGAGAAGAAGTGAAAACGATTGTTGACCTGAATTGATGAGGTAATTTTATTGATTTTCTCTTCATTATTCACTTCCACCAGTATTGCAACAATCACCACCATCAACTGCTCCATAACTATACGATACAAAGCCACAAGATTCCTAAAAAAATCATCCTCTCAAACCCAAATTAACTCCAAATCCCCCAATCTCCCGTTGTTGAAAATACTCTTAAGGCTCTCGAGTTGGATAAAGTCTATGATTCGGTTGCTTCATTTGCGGGTACCTCATTCGGATAACAAGCCACCAAGGTTACTCTCTCTGTATTCTGAAATTCCATTTTGTATAATCCTTTGTGTGCTTCTATATTTTGAAAATTGAAGTAGTTACTATAAATAGACCACGATATTGATGAATGTTTGTTTTGTGTTATTTGGTAGGCAGGGCTACTGTGTTTGGATCAGTCATACCAAGAGAGTTTGAGACTATTAGCAGAGACAAATGCGGTTGTCGAAATGCACAAACATGGTGGTTGTATCATGGATTTCACATCCCTCAATATCGCATTGGTTAGTGTTTTCTGAATTTAACTTAGGCTTTCTGTTTTGTTCATACACATTCATTTAAATGTTATTTAATTGTAAATTCCCTGTGCTTCAAATATTTATTTCAATCGATAAAAAAACCGAGGAACGGAGATTTGGTATGCGACTTTATGCATCTCAATCAGTTGGTTAGATACCATTGAAGCTAAACACTTGACAAACCATTTCACCGGTTTTGTAGTTACATTTTGATTTTTGAGTCTATATGGTTTTAATAATCACAAGATTCTCTATGCAGGCATCAAATCCATTATTTCAATATGATAAGTAGTAGATAATCTTTTTAAATTTTGTAGATGTTGGATGGATTGTGCTATGAACTGACCCAGTGTTAAGCACACAAACCCAACAAATCAATCAAAAAATTAAAGAAAACACAAAAAATTCATCAACCACGTTTTGCATTCATGGCCAAGAGTGAAATTGATCAACTTTAAGATGATTACAAATGGAGAAAACATGGGCATAAAGTTGTTAAAAATATCCAAGGTTGTATGATCCTTTTGCTTCATTATATTATTATATTATTTATCTAAAATGCAAGAAACTTTCTTGAAATGTATAGTGGTTATTGCAGAATTTGCCATTTTTGTACCTTACATCTATATTCCAGCAGTGGTTGTGCCTCCATTAGGGGCATTCAGTATTATCGTGAGGTTTTTACATGAGAGTGATTAAATTAAGTGTTGTGTATTTGTTGAATTTCATTCAATTATGGAATGGAATAAAAGTGTTCAAATAGGTTTTTCTTTTCAGATGTTTAAATTATTTGATTCATTCAACATCAAGAAACATTTTATTGTTCTTCAAGATTCTGTAAAAACCTTCACATTTGGTTTGTTTTTCGTTTTATTTCTTCTTTTTACTGATAAGGGTAGTTTCGACATATTTTTTTCTGGTTCAATGGACCTTTTTTTTATTTATACAGTTTTCTAAAAAGTGTTATGACCATGTACAAAGATAACCACAAGTTTAAGTACAGTGAGTTAAGTGACACCCTTTTTTCTTATATGCATTTAACATTTTTCCCCTTTTGGTCCTACTTTTATAGGTGAGGCCCAATGTTTAGGTGTCTTTACATGTATGGACAAAATAATTAAGGTCGGGAAAGGAACAGACGGGTAGGATTGAGTGAGAAAATGACATTAGAAGTGATGATATAACATTCTACTTTGACTACTCCAATATGATTTTTTTTTCGTATGTTTCACTTGAATTTGTTTCTTCATTGGATCCAAAACACTAACAATCTTCTTGGTTATTTTTCAGATATGGTTGAGTTTCTTGCTTTCGATACATATACAAAATCAAAATCCAAGCCTCTATTCAAAGTGAAACCATGGTGGCTCCTTAAATCTTGAAATTGTTTTGGCATTATACAAGGGTTCACTATTTTTTTTCATCTTTTTGCTGGTAATTTATTTTATTTAAGGTTGATATTTTGATATTCCTTTTTTGAATAAGGAGGATATGCTTCTACTGTGTTGTCTGGGTATATTACATTCTTAGATAATTTTTCCCTTTAAGGTAAAGATATGTAATAGAAATGAACCTGACATGAGTTCTATAATTGATTGATAGTTGACAATAGTCTAGAACTCCATGGTTGCTATGTTTTACAATCGAACACCTTCTAACCCCCGCAAAACGGGGGTCCTTCCCTAGTTTTTAATATAAAATATTTATCCATAAAGATTATAAACTATTGGTTACAAAATTTTATATTTCCCAACATGTTTTTTTTTATTCACTTGTGACGAGTCATTTTATGGGTGTTGTTATTCACACCCATTGAAAACCATTTTTAAAGGTTAAAAATCACTTTGACCCATCATGTTATATATTAATTTTAATTTTGATCATTTGTATTTTTAAATATAAATAAACTGATATATTAATAAATTGTACATCTTTTATTTTACATATTAATTTATATTCCAATTCTTTATATTACTTAATATAAATTATATTACATGTATAATCTTTATTTTACATATTAATTTTCATATATTAATATTAAAAGAACCGTGTTACTTCTTAAGATACGAGTCCTTGACAATTATTTTTTTAATTATTGTTCTTTTTTATCTTTCGTATTTAATCGTGAAATAGATAACACGGACTTGTTGATCAAATGGTATGTTCAAATATTACATCTATAACCATCCTATTTATATTATTTACATGTTTTCCAATTATATTTCAAGACAATATAATCGGTATAATCTAAATCATTAATATTTTTTTATTAACATCTAGTCATCTGCTTATATTAATTACAAAATAGATCTTTAACTTTTGAGTTGTATATTTCAAAATGCGCTAATATCTTGTTGTATAATTCTTGCTGAATTTAAGACAAATTATCTTGATTATATATAGAACAACATTATCATTAAAACGAGCTGGCTAGAGGTTAGAAAAATAACCAAACAATTTGAGAAATGATAGATTTGACATCCAAACATTCCAATTCTTAGAAGCCTTAGTTGACCTAGTCGGGAATTAGTAAGCGACTAGTCGGAGATCCTAAATTGTAAATTGTTTAAATTTTTAAAAATTAAATGTCAATATTATAACAAAGTTAGTGAATATTACTAATATCATTACAAATAGATTACTATGATTAATACGGTATTAAGATGATGACTACTGGTGGTTGGAATTGGTGACTAGTAGTGGTTGATGGTGGTGAACGGGGGTTACATGCTAACGTTGGTATATGTTAGAGATTAACTATACAAATAATTCCAAACCATCAAATAATTCCAAACCATCAAGACCGCTCATGTAATTTACTTTAATATATGACATCAATGGTAATAAAATAAAACGGAAATAAATAAAATTGTAGAAGATTGATTTTATAATTACAACAAATATATAAAAAGAAAAATATTTAAAAATACAATATACTGAAATATAAATTAGTAAAATGAAAAACTAAATTACAAAGGATACATTTTGTAGTTATAGTAAATTAAAAGGAAAAGAATTGAAGATGTAAGATTTGATTGGTTGTTTAATAGAAATTTTCTAAAATTTTATTGAGAAACAATTTTTATCGTAAAAAAATATAAAAATAAAAATATTTATATTTACCGGTTCAAAAAAAAAAAGTCAAGATTAGACTTCGTGCAAAATTTGGCACCAAATATCATAACTTCGTCTGCCATTATACAACTTAGGATGCGATCCTCACATATTAACGTCATTATAGTTTTTAACTTGTTAGAAAATGTTTGGAAAAAAAATCATAAAAGATTCTGATTGTTAGCTAAAACAAATAATTTCGAATTTAAAAACTAGCACTTAATAAAAAAAAACTTATTATGATTTTACAAATTGATTTAATTAGATTTTTCTAAATCAATTGCGTGTTTTATATAAGTCTTTTTATGAAATTTTACATGTATTAAGCCTCTAGCTGCTGTTGTCGAACACTTATATACAAATAAAAGCTTCACTTTTAACTTTCAGTTTTTAGTTATCACCTTTCAGCTAGTTTTACCGAATACCCCTTAAAATAACTTTTTTTTTTCTAAAGATGACCAAAATATAAACAAATAATGTAACAAAAAATTTATGGTTTTTCTAAAGATGGCCAAAATATAAACAAATAATGTAACCAAAAATTTATGGTCAAATTATTTATTCCTACTAATCAAAGTTATTTAAAGATAACCATTATATAAAAGAAATTACATACAATTTTTTTACACATACAACTCCAATGTACATATGATATATACATGCCCTTTTATTATTTTAAACATTCACTTTATTACCTTTATATATATATATATATATATATATATATATATATATATATATATATATATATATATATATATATATATATATATATATATATATATATATATATATATATTACTTTCTGAGAATAATATTTCGCGTATCCTTGTGATATGTTTCTAACATGTGTTGTCTACTTTGAATTATATATATATATATATATATATATATATATATATATATATATATATATATATATATATATATATATATATATATATATATATATATAGGGGAGGGTTCATGCGAAAATGCAAATAATTTGCGAAAACAAGAAAACAAGAAAAACCTATGATATTATGTCACCTCAACATTATATTTTGGAAAATAATTCATCCAAAATTTGAAATACATGATGATAATCGATGATAGATGATAAATTGTTTCATATTACCAAAGTATGATTTTTAACATTTTTATTATGAAAACATGAATTTAAAAATGATTAAGGACGTGAAAAAAATATAATTATAAAAACCGTTTTTAAATCTATATAACCATAACACCATCCAATGTAAACTTACTATCTTTAATTTATTGCTAATAAAATTATTTTTTTGTAGTACATGTGTTTAATTTTCATAAGATAAAATCTGTTTTCGCGTTTTCGCAGAATATTTATATTTTCGCATGAACTTACTTCTATCTATCTATCTATCTATCTATATATATATATTACTTTCGGAGAATAATATTTCGCGTATCCTTGTGATATGTTTCTAACATGTGTTGTCTAGTTTGAATTGTAGTGAGCTCATAAATTGGATTATATAACCGAAATTAACCATATAAACAAACACATTAAAGAAACAAACATATTAATGACCATCAACTTCCCATCGGGAAAAAAAGTTAAAAAAAAACTACATCTAACAATTGAGCTAGAGTCATTCTTTTCTTTATGAACAATTTTTTGTCCGCAATTGATCTTTTTATCAAAAACTGCTGATTTCACCAATTATATGTATTTTTTATGAGGTGACAATCAAACGTTTAAAATAGTTCATTCTAGAAACTCTTTAAGCTCTTCCTGTGCTTTTTGTCTCAACTCGGTCATTAAATGTGACGACCATCCATTAATCGGGAACCAAGTTGAGCACAAGGTTAGGCTATATGGTATCATAATTACTTAATTAGTGAAGATCCTGACACGTCATCAAGTTAGCCACTCCACTACATGTTTACTAGTTTTGGGGGAGGTGTTCATTAGTGAACATGTAGTGAACAATATATATATATATATATATATATATATATATATATATATATATAGAGAGAGAGAGAGAGAGAGAGGGAGAGAGAGGGAGAGAGAGAGAGACAGCGGGGGAAGAGAGATGTAATGTTTAGAAAATTGGTAAGTTTCATATGTTATCCCTAATCGAAAAGGATTGCAAAATGGTCCTTAAGGCTAGTACACGGGGGCGTACATGGTGGTACGCTTAGCATACTAGCCCGATGCTTGATCGCACATTCGGACACGTATGCGAGACGTATGCTTGTGTACGCGGGACGTACGTACGTTTAAGTGAACTGTAAATTTAGGGTGTTGCACCATATTTAAACCTTGTGATGCCTCACTAGGTCATGTTTAGACAACCTCTATCCCTCCTTGTCCAGAAAATCAAATCCTAAGTGAGGTCTTGAGAATTTGAGCCCTGAAGTGTATTTTTGGTGCATTGTGAAGGAGAAGAAGAAGTGAATCATTTGGAGTTGTGTTGGGAGCTTAAAGATCTGAGATTAGCTCTGCATTTGCTTTCCTTGTGAGGTAAAAAGCTTCAATCTTGCTAATCTATGTTGCTAGATCAAATTTTGGTGCCATTTTTGTACTTTTTGAGTCCACAGTTGGGTTGTTGAGCCTCTTGATTCGCTCTAGAAGTGATTGATGGTATATCTAGGGTCCTTTAGGTCCATTTATCCATAAAAATGCAAGTTATAGGGCATTTGTGGTCTCATGCATGTGTTAAGACATTTATTAAGCTCCTTTGAGCTCTAAAAGCATCATTAAGCCATGCATGCACGTAAAGCTGGCAACTTTACGTGATAAACCACCTTAAGGAAGTTAGATATGAGTTTAAGTTGGAGTCTTAATCGATTAAAAGCTAAAAAGTGAAGGTTGGCCAAAAGGGTGGAGTACGATGGGCGTATAAGGTAGTACATTGCGCGTACAAGCCCTTAAGCGAGTATGTTTAGCGTACGAGTTGGGTACGCCGTGCGTACTTAGCAGTAGGCTTTGGTTTCGTGGGTTCTTTGGTTTTGGTCATGGTGGACTTTAGTTGTCTTGGGCTTTATTGCGCCTTCAAAATTCTATTAATGGGTTGTTAATATTTTATTGGACTCTTGGTTCTAGGCCCATGAAAGGGATTTGGTCCCAATCTGGAAAATTAGGCCATATTGGGCTTTGAGTGATTATTATGGAAATTGGGCCTTTGGACAATTGAATTGGGCCTTGGCCTTAGGCCAAGTACGAAAAGGGTAAAATGTCTTTTACCATAGTTTGGACTCTTAGTGTGGGTCAAGATCCGATTATTAATGGGATGATTATTTTATGATTGATAGCGCAAAGATTTTTAGTGGGTCAGCAGCCAGAGATTTATCTGTGAGATTTGACAATGTGAGATGATTTTCCTCACTGTACGTAGTGGTTCGAAGGCACCAATACCAGCCCATGATTATTTATGATAGAATCCTATATATCTATGTGATTCTTGCATGTGTTATGTGCTGATATGTATACCGAGCGAGGCTCGATGTCGGGCGAGGCCCGATGACTGTATTGTATGATATTGGTTGTGGTTATAGCATGTGTTAGCATGATTATATGTATATATATTTATATTTTTATATGTTTGTTATGTATCGGGCGAGGCCCGATGCGAGGCGAGGCCTAATGTATGACATATATGTAATCCGAGCGGGGCTCGATATCGGACGAGGCCCGAGGCCGAGTAGGACTCGATGACGGGCGAGGCCCGATTAAAGGTGGGTGTAACACTCTAAAATTTCAACCAAAATTTTCATTTTTAAATTACATAAAATCAGTATTTCATTTTCTCAAAATCACAATGTATCAAATATCAAAACACAATCCCACAAAACAACTGATAGAAATCCGAGAATCCTCAACATAGTCTCAAACATGTGTGTACAATCAAGCTGGTGTCTTCTTGTGATCCTGAGAAGTACATGAAACACATAACACACAACACGGTAAGCACGAAGCTTAGTGAGTTCCCAAAATACCACATACACAAATAATAAGCCTCTTATGGCTATAAATCGGCATGGACCCTCCAGTCTCATGCGTCTCGGTGAGGACCCTTCGGTCTCACGGCTCGGTGTGGATCCTCCGATCATGTGTCTCAGTGAGGACCCTCCGGTCTCACAGTTCAAGTTGGACCTTCCAATCCTATATCTCAGTGAAGACCCTCCGGTCTCATAACTCGGTTTGGACCCTCCGATCCTATCTCAGTAAAGCACAAAATAATATAGCATATATCACAAATACAAAATGCATAATATCACATAACTCAATATAAGCACATAGGACCCTCTGGTCGATAACTCAAATAGGACCCTTCGGTCACTCGGTACTACCACTCAGATAATTATAGTGAGAAGACTCACCTCGTAAGTAAAGCAAATATGTCTCGTATTCGAACCACCGGTCTAGCCTCCGCCTAACATATACCATAATTATCTATAATTAATAAACGACCCTCAAAGATGTTAGGCTAAACATACTACTAATTCTCAGAAGGATAAAAGATAATTTTACCTTTCCATGGTATGTATAGTCCATAGTTTGACCAAACCCTAAAACTCAACAAAAGTCAACAGCAGCGCGTACGTTGGGCGTACAACCCTTTACGCTGGGCGTACTACTTTGCCATGCATGCATCGGGGATCTTCGATGCTACGCTGCGCGTACCTGGGAGTACGCTCGGCGTACATCCCAAACTTACTTTTCCCACTCTCTTGGTCTTAATGGATTAAGACCATAACTATACTCTCAGATCTGGACTCACTAAAGGCTCATACTCCATAAAGTTTGTGATTTTAAGCCTTTGCGTGGCTGAGAAAGTCTAAAACCCCAAAACTCTCTCTCTTTACTCATAAAAGTGCTCATATCTCATGCCTGGGGTGATTTTGACGTCCAAAATCCCATTTTTATGAGTCCACTCCACTAGAGACATTTAATGGGACAAGTATTAGGATCTGGAGTTTAACAAACTTATAAAGCTTCAAGCTTTGGGACAAAAACCCTAAAATGAACCATAATATGCACACATCAAAAGAATGAGAAAGCTTTGAGCATGATACCTTCAAATGATGCACCAACGACAGGGAAGCTCATTTCCAAAGCTTGGACTCCAACTCCATTCTCTTCAAAGGTCCTTCTTCACTCAAAGAATCCCATAAGAATACTTAGAAGCTTACAAATGGCCACTTAAGCTAAGAGAATGTAAATTAGGGTTTTTAGGGGGTTTAAGACTGGAAATGGTGGCCAAAAATGAGGGCATCATGTTCTTTAAATATGGACACACCCCGCAATTAGGGTTTTCATTATGAGCCTCGTACGCTTAGCGTACCCTCTGGTACACCCAGTGTACTAGGTGGCTTTCGCATCCAAATCACGCACATGAGTACGCTGAGCGTACACATGTGTACGCCTTGCGTACTCAGCTATCACCTTTTCTCAAATAAAGGGCCAAACTTGACAACTAGAATAAAGTAAGGGTTAATGAGATATACCTACTCTCAGGATGTTACAACCGGGGCCCAATATGTGTTTATTATGTATGTTATGAGGTATTTTGGGGAACTCACTAAACTTTGGGCTTACGGTTTTTAGTTTATGTTTCAGGTACTTCCAGATTTAAAGGGAAGAGTCTGGGATGATTGCAAGGCACCCACTACCTTTTTTCCGCATTTGAGATTACTCTGATATGTTTTGGATGTAGGGGAAAATGTCACTGTAGCCCTACGTACTTTCACATGTTTGTTTAAAAGGTCCATATTGTTATTTTTGGCTTTATAAGGGCATGAATTCTCTTTTTACCGAATTTTAAGGCCATTTTCTAGAAAGTGAAGGGGTCAGCTGGTCACCCCTTTCCCAATCAGCTGGTTATCTTGTACACGTCATTAAAAAAAAAAGCCAACTCATTTTCCAAATCAGATGCCACCTCATGTATCATTAAATGAAACGAACAGGAGAGCACGAATTTGAGGGAGAACAACCATGTGGAATCCATCACCATTATCATCACTTCCCCTCAAAATAGCATTCATCATATCTTTCTATCTCACTGCTTCTTCTTCGTCTTACTCTCCCCCAACCTCCAACCCCCGTTATCATTCCATCTCAATTCCGAAAGTCATCTCCAAGAAACCCTCAACGACCACCGCCACCGCTGGAGACATACACACACTTCTTGGCACACCTCAGCAGGTTGCATCCGTCGACCCCCAAGTTGTTGTTGAACTTCAATCTTGCTTCAAGTTCATTATTCCTTTTAATCCTACTACCAACACTCCACCTGATTACTGTTTCAATTTAATAAATCGGCTGAGTCAATCCCTAACCGAATCGGGAATTCGATTTCCGCGGCACACGTTGAATGATGCTGAGAGTTATCAGAATGAGCTTATCTGGTCACCACCGGCACCTATGTTGGAGATTGCTCGACTTGCTTTTGATTCTGGTGGTGATCTAGGTTCTATTCAAGGCACCCTTGATCCCACGATGATCTACGTGAGTTTCTGTATTCCCTTACCTTTTCTACATTATCAATCTCCCTTATTCGCTATGATAAAATCGAGGCCTTTTTCCATATCCAAATTTGTTACAATAACTCCAACTCCTATGCAAAAAGGGTTTTGCTTACATCTTAGTAGCATGTATCAATTGTTACAAACTAGTAATTTTCTATAATCAAATAGCTTTATACTCCTAGTCGCCATTAGCAAAAGATTAAGAATGATGAAGAATCATAATCAGACCTCAATCACTCAATGTGCTCACTCTATTTCTTTCAGAAGTACAAAAATGGAGTGTAATTGAAGCTTCCTTTAACTATGCCACATGTACCAGATTGTGAAGGCTCAAATGAAAATCGATGTGAATTTACAAGATATCCTTATAGAAGGGACTTTCTAAACGAGGTTTCCACTATAGTAATTGAATTCATACAAGTTGGTTGATGAATTGGGTGACCACTGAACCCTTAGGGCCCAAGCAAGGCAACTCGTTGGTGAGTCGTTGATGTGTCATCCAAGTTGGGTGAGTTGCCTCTGTAACTGAGTTGGGTGATGACTAGGAAAGGAAACTAGTTGAATTGGGGCAAAATCCCTAATTAGCCGGTAAAAAGAGAATCCATGCCCTTATAAAGCCAAAAATAACAATAGGGACCTTTTAAACCAAAATGTGAAAGTTCGTGGGGCTACAGTGATATTTTCCCTTGGATGTAGTGACTTACTTTGATCTTTTGGGGGTTGTATGACAATGTTTGAATAAATGTTTTTATTTTTGGGTCTTGTTTTTGGGACGTTACAAGAAAGAGAGATGTAATCAATCCTTTCGTGAATGCAACCGCTCCATAAGAGAACCACTAGATTTCGAGGCGGTGTTCACCATTGGAAACCCTACTTCACCTCAGCTTTCATGCGTGAAAACCCTTCCATACCGAAAGGCCTTAAGCATCGATCAACCTTATAGAACACTAATTTACGTACACTTATCTTTAATTTTATACAATGCATGTTTGAAAACCCTGATCGGTCCTAGAAGAAAGCTCTTACTTGCATAATAGCTTCCAATTCATCAATGGCCCTTGTTGATGTTGATATAACGTTAACGGTAGAGGTACACTATTCAGGCTTCTTCCTACCAATACCAATAACCAAACCTCATAAGTAGAGATGACAACAGGGGCGAGGAATACAGGGACCCCAATCCCCATTCCCATCCCCAAATTTTCATTCCAATCCTCATCCCCATCCCCATCATGGGGATATAAATGAACCTCCATCCCCACCCCTAACGGGGACCGGGGATCCCCAATAGGGAATCGGTGATATTTTTTTTCTCTTTTAATATGAAAACTTTAACGTAAGGAAAAACTCTAAATTTCAATTTTAACTACATAAGTTTAAAGATTTTTAAAAAACATAAAAATATTCATAGATTGCATTAAAACTATAAACAAGTTTTCTATAAAATTTAAATACATACATGAAAAATCAAATAGAAAAAAATATATATATGAGTGTGATATTTGAGGTAAAATAGACAAACCAAAGAGAAAAAAATATATATACACGAGGTTAAATTAGATAAAAAAAGAAGGAAAAATACAATTTCAACCGAGTAATGACCAATGAATTTGGTTACTTGGATAAACTTTTGGATATTATAAAGTATACAATAAATATATGTTTCGTATTATTTGTATATATTAATATATATATATATATATATATATATATATATATATATATATATATATATATATATATATATATTAGGACTGAGTCTAGGGTCGGGGTCTAGGGGTATCCTCATCCACACTTTTTTATTCGGGGATTCCTCATCCCTGTCCCTATCCCCGTTCAACTTGGGGATTCCCAATCAAAACAAGTGTGGGTTTTAGGTTCCTCTTTGGGTATGGGGATTTTTGCCATCCCTACTCATAAGCTATGTAGAATCCCAAATCTTAACATACACTGGCGTGGCTTTCGTTTATCTCTTCGTGAAGTTATGAAGGATCCAATCCATAATGTTTAATTATTGTGTTCCCAACAAGCTGTTGTATGTAGGGTTAAGACTTATGATGTAGTTGAAGTGTTTAAGATATTTTATAAATCATGGTTTTGACATTGGGCGTAGAATTAGTTCGTATATTGAACATTATGAATTACAAGGTGCATGAATGGCTTCCGGGTGAAATGATAGCCATTGATCAGAAAAGGGGATAAAGGTGTAATAGAGTTGTAAGGTAAAATAGAGGTGAAGGTCGAATTTGGTACTTTGTACTTTGTGTAGCATTCTATTATTGACATTCTACTTTGTGACAATGAACTTTTTGTATTACTATTCTTTGTATTCTACTTTGTGAAAAGTAATTTGTATGTGAATTAAACGCAAGTGTAGAAATGTTCTTGATAGCAATGTTCTTTTCATTTTTGCATACTTAGTAACAAATATAGCATTGTACTTTGTGTAGCCCCGTCACAAACTAGAATGCACCACTTTGTGCAATGTAGACTTAATACCATTGTCAATTAATAGCTTTGTGAGTGATTAGGCCATAGCCCAGATTAATAGAAGAATAATTAAAAAAAAAGAAACCTAACTTTACCAATGTAAAAGCCTAACAAACTAAAGATCCAAACAAGTTGATAAGAAAACAGGAAAATAAATAGAAAAAAAAAAAAAAAGCAAGAAACCTATAGATCAACGATCAACTGTGACTGTTAGCTAGTTACTATATTTCTGTTATAAACTTCTATACAAACAGCACCATAACACACACACACACACACAGGGGTTAAGGGTTGCTGCTATCTGCTCCAAAGACCTCCTTCAACTTCAAAGTTTGCATTACAAATATCTCATCATATGCCTTCTTTTGTTTAACATCAATATAGCCCCCCGTTTTCAAAAGCTGCATATCAATTTTCACAAAATACATAAACAACCATTCCATCTGTAAATGTGTAGATGCTGTTTCTTTCTTACCAGTATCTCAGAGAAAAACATTGCACACTCTCTCTTTGTTTTCTCCTTCAAAATATGACCCAACTTTACAACTTCATCTTTCTTGTGTGTGAAGTTAGTGTGCAGATAACCCCCAACATTTCTGCATAACAAAATAAAAGGTAAGATCAAAAAAGGGATTTGATTCGTTGTTAGAAAAAAAGTAGAACACCAATAATATATGATCATCAAACTTACTTTGTTAGAGCCGACCAATTTTCTGCAAAATAAACACATGATTTAATCAGAAGATCTCTAGAGAATAAATAAATAAAAAGTTACATACCATGTCCTTGGTTTTGTAGGTGTGACGAGCTTGGCCCCTGCCTGGAAACAGATTGAAGATTATCGAATTCTTGATCATTGATTGGAAACACGTCTTCACATGAACTAGTGGGGCCCTCTTGGTTGGCCTTTGATGCTGATTGAGTTGTTGGTGTTAATGGAGCAATTATTTCTGCTTCATTTTCTTCAACACTTTTTAGCATAACAGAAGCAGCAGCAGCAGCACATGATCCTATTCCTACCCCAACCCCATCATCAGCAACCTGCAGTTGCAGTTGCTCCACCTCAATTCTGGAAATGGCAGACCTCAAATCAGATGGAAAACCTGCATTCACTGATGAAGGGACAAATTTAATTCCACTTACAATTACAATATTCAAGAATGAATTAAAGAAGAAAGAAAGAAAGCTTACGAGGAATTATAGGTTGGATGAAAATATAATCACAAGACCTGGTCCTACTCCTAGTGGTTGGAACTTTGGTTCTTTTGCCTACAAGATCGCTTGCATTTGTGACCCAGTCTTTATACACCCTGCAACCAAGATTTTAAAAAAATAGCATTCAGAATTTCTAATAATATATCAATCATCTTCTTCTAGGTTGGGACAAATTTATTTATTTTAGAGAGAAACAAAGTATGAAATACTTAAAGTAACTTCATTTGAATTTGATTGGGTCGTATCTGGCTTCTATGCAAGCTGACACATATTTATTACTAGAACAAAAGGATGACATCACATGACTCACACGTTACGAATGACAGTGACATCATCATAAACACATTTGCGCTTCCTTGAATTTGATGTTGATGCCCTAACACTAACACGCTCTTGGACAGCTGGAGTACGAACAGCCATACTATCCGATTTATGTTTACCTGAAATCAATTCAAGCAACATTTATTTATTTCATAAATAAATAAATACAAACCTCATCAACAATTCACACAACATATATTATCTTAATTTGAAAGGAAAAATAAATAAATTACCCGAAACAGAGGGACGTTTCGACTGAGGTGTCACGTTAACAGCAACCGACAATTTTTGTGGACTAGGTTTGAACGTTATGTTATCATCATCATCAACCAATGTAAATGTTGTTTCTAAAACTGATTTCTCTTCTTTCTCTCCAGTTGTACACTCTTCTTCATCTTGATGCTTATCATTTCTATCTTCAAATGTCATGTAGTTATCACAAGAATTTGTGTTCCTCCATTCTGGATCATGTTCAAGAAAGGGTATTTTGGGAAGAGTTACTTCTTCATCAGGCTCATCAAGTTCCATGGGAGCCAGGCGATCCTCCAGGGAGAATCTTGTCCGAATATTCTCGGGGCTTGCTTCTGAGTGATGTCCTGTTTCGTCGTTTTCCCATGAATCTGTGTCTGTTTAAAGAAAAGAATCGTACAAATACAACAACTAGGTTAACATATCTCCTACCTAGATTACACAATTAATAATAAAAAAAAAAAAAAAAAAACATAAACTTGAATATCTTACCAGGAAGGACAATCTCCAGATTGGATTTCACATGGTGTCTGTGATTTTCAAGAAACAAATCAAAAACTGATATAAATAAATGCTGCAAAACAAAATTGACAAATTCAAAAAGTAACGCACTCGCTGCTGCTTTCATCTTCTACAACTTGAAGATCAAAAGCATCCAGTTCAAAATTTTCTGGGAGGGTAATTGAAAAGAAATCTGCACGCATAGCATCAACCAAAGTGTTGGATCTTTTTCTACTTGAAGATTCTGGTGCATCCATGTTAGTTTTGGATCTTTGACCTGAAGCTTCTGGTAAGCACATGCCACCAACGTTGATATTGATGTTGACTTTTTTCCTCCCTTCAAGATAGACTTTCATTTCATACAGGCTGTGATTGCAGTCAATAAGCAGATACTCGACTTTCTTGGAGTATAGTCTTGTCACTCCTAGTAGAAGAAATCCCAAGATTCTATATGTTACAACTGAAACTTGGTCTACCAATATTTTATCTGAATCAAACATAAAAAGAAGTATGTTAAATATAATATATAACAAATAAAAGTATGAACCGGTTTCAAAGTAACAAAAGCCCATGACAAAGATTGAAGGATAATGAACAGACACTTTTCTACAAAGTTGAAAAAGCAGGAAAACCCCTTTTTAGGGTTTAAAGGTCAACATATATTGCCTAGATTTTCAGCAAGAGACACCAAACTTGCAAGTTCTAAAACATAATTCTAATATACAATTTCATACACGATTTTCACGACCCAATTTGTGGGGCAACAGAAGATGGTCATTTTTCCCCTTTATAAAAGTGAGAAATGCATCAAATATATGGTGCTGACTTTGAAAGCAAACAGTCAAAACAACAATCACAAGTAATGAAGAAAAAGAAGAGTTGAGTAACGAAAAAAAAACCTTCTTCTAGCCGCTAACCAGTAAAAAAAACCCTAGGTTTCAAGCATACAAACAATCGAACCCACAAACGATTTATAGATTAAAATAATCGCATTTTTTCTAGAATTTTTTAAAAAAACTGAATGGGTATTAAACCATCGTACAGCAAATAATCATATGTATGGCCTTGGTGTTGAAATATTCACAATCATTCACAACTCTCAGTACGGATGAACAACAATAGTTACCGACGTTAAACGCAAACGAACCAGAAATCAAAATTAGTAAAAATAAATGAACCCCGATTTAGTTTCTGCAAAACGCTGAAGAATTTTTTTTATCGAAGTAGTTCACGTGATTTTCATCTTACTATAATTCCTGTATCATCAATGAAAGACAAAGCGACACAGAAAATTAAACCGACAACTAACCGACAGAAGAACTGATGTTCGTCTGTTGAACAAATTCTTTCCTGATACGATGCGGAAAGTGAGCAGCCATCCAAACATGTCCCAAATCCACCTTCTTATTCCCCATTAACATATGTTTGTATATCGTCCCCATTTTAACTTAAATACACTTGATCAAAACCCCTTCTCTTATAAAAACACATGTAAACAAAGATGTAATGGGATTTGTGGTTTGATTATCACTCTGTGAGTCTGAAATGGAAATGGGAAATGGTGCGTCTACTACTCTGCAAAAGAGCGATGGGAGAGGAAATGGTGGTATAGAAATGGGGAGGGAAGAAGAAAACGGTCGAGGTTTTGAGCGTCGCAGACAAGTTTCCAATTTTAAAAAGAGAAAATCAAAAATTTAGACACATTTAACATTTTCATGAAAGAGTCATTAATATGTGATGACAAACGCTGTATTTATGTATTTCTTAATTCCTGGTTCTATTTTACTATAAAAGGACAAAACCGAAAGATTGGTATGATGGTATTTAAAAAATTTTAGATGGATCTAAAAACTTTTTTATTTTTTTTTTATCGAAGGTATAAAATCAAGTTTTTTTATATTTTTGATCTTAAAAAAATTTAAAAAGATGGTTATGTTCTTTTATTTATTTTTTTAATTTTTATAATTTTTCAAATACTAATTTAATTTAAAAATCAAAAGAAAAGAAAATAATTCTCTCTCTCTCTCTCTCTCTCTCTCTCTCTCTCTCTCTCTCTCTCTCTCTCTCTCTCTCTCTCTCTCTCTCTCTCTCTCTCTCGGGATCTAATTTCTTTCTTAAAAATATTCGTTCCTAGCATTAGAACTTAGATTTCTCCCTTCTCAAACAATCGATTCCTACCATTTAGATTAACCCAAACACTTCAAAATCATGTCATTGGGATGAATCCACCAGGTGAATAGATTTTGCGAATCGAGAAAGGAGTTGAGGTTTTTCTAGGGTGTAGATTTAAGAACAGAGTGTAAATCTGTGAACCTCAGATGGTGTTGCAATGGCGGCGCATAGGTGGTGATGGCGGCATACAAGTGGCGATAGTCGAACAGAGAAGAGAGAAGAGAGGACGAAAGTGAGAGGGTGTTTTGTGTTTTATTGTTATCCACTCACCGGAGTACAAATCTGCTACCTCTCATCGGAGTGTAGATCTCCACCATCAGCTCCAGTTGTGGTGTTGTTAGGAGCCAAATGTAAGCTTCACCATCTTTCTTGATATCTAAAGACTCATTGTTCCAAACATGTGTGTATTCCGTTGATGATTTGAGAGTGGGTTTCGAGGAGTCGTTTGATACATCTTTTCCAGCAAGAATATGACCGGAAAATGGGACGTCGTTTGGTTCTGCATACGAGCCTAAACTTGAAAAGCCTTGTGGGATCTCAACTAGGTCGTAAAATGTGGCACCGAGATTGTCGGTTCCTCCTTCATTTGTTGCCCATATTTTGTTAAGTTTTGTTACATGACTCACTTGTAATCCTACAAGATCTATGATTTCGTTTTTGGTTTTAGTTTGATTGGGTCTTGGAGATTGGAATAAACAAAGGAGAGATAGATAGATAGATAGATAGATAGATAGATAGATAGAGAGAGAGAGAGAGAATGAAAGAAAGAAAGAAAGAAAGGGTACCGCTTGAGAGGGTTGGGTAAGATTTTATTTTATATTTTCTTAATTATTTAAATACCAAAATAATAAAGAAATAGAAAAGAATGAAAAGGGTAAAATCGACTTTTCAAGTGTATCAGGGACTAAAAACACGGAAAACCTTGATTTTGTACCTTCAATGCAAGTCGGAAACTTTTTCGACCATATCCAAAGTTTTTTGAATACCACAGAGACCAACCTTGCAGTTTTGTCTATAAAAAATATGTTACTTTTATATTAAGTTTAAGGAATAATGACTTAAAAGAGTAATATATTTTTTGATTTGTACACATTTGGTCATTTAGATTTTTTTTCCTTCCACATTTGCCCATTCAACTTGTTTAACTGTACATATTCAATCATTATGACCTATTACTTTAGGTAAACCATAAAAAATGACTTACTATGGTAATATATTTCTCACTTTGTACACATTTAGCCCTTAATATTTTTTTTGCACATTTAGTCCTTAATATTTTTCTGTTGCAAAGTAAGTCCTTGTTGTTTTTGTACACATTCAATACTTATGAACGGTTTATTTAGGTTTTTCTACGACAGTCTACATGGGACAACCATTAATTAGGTGTTCGGGGATGTTCATGTTTATGGCCATCGCGACCTCGACTGATTGGTTGCTTAGGTGTTGTGTTATGAACATCGTAACTTCTTCATATGATCTTGGGTTTTTACAATCTTTATATTTGCACATTCGTATTTGTTGTGTTTTGAACGTCGTAACTTCTTGATATGATCTCGGATTTTAACGATCTTTATATACATCCTTAGTATTTGAGTCTACTATAACTTTCATTTAGATTAATCTTGTTAAAAAGTAATATATTTTTACTTATGGTCTTTATATACATGAGTTCTTTGTGAATATATGTAAGTAAAAATATGTTACTTTTTAACGGGAGTAATCTAAACGAAAGTTGTAGTAGACTCTTTTTAACGAGAGTAATCTAAACAAAAGTTGGATTCGAGAAGCGGTAGGTCAATGGAGACCAGGAGTGGTGTAAGACTACAGTGGTTCAGGTAGCATTCATTTTTGTAGTAGGTTCGGTGGCGACGGGTAGAAGGACGGTATGATCGTAAGGATCAACAGGAATAATGGAGCCATAAGAGGCAATATGGTTTAGGCAGATTTCGATAGTCGAAGTTCTCTTCAAAAGTTGCAAGGAGCGACTATGAGGTTGTTCTTTGGCTTAGCAACGGGGTGGGAAATTCGGTATCCTAGATGGGTGGCAGATAAGTTGGGACCACGGTGGTCTCGGTTCATTCAGAAGTGGACAAGAGGCAACATTATGTTCAGACAGAAGTAGTGAAGTGAGGGTTCTCGTATGGGAAGTAGCTTGTCGATCGAAGATGCTAAGTCACTTACAATTGGATTGAATAATCTCAGAGTAATGGATTTGACCCTGTCGCGCAGCTCTCGTTTGAGTCTAACCATTTCAGGGATGAATCTTCTACTCGAAGGATTATCTAAGCCTTCTATCAAGTATAAGTACTCTATGGCTGGTTATGAATAGGGATTTCGTTTCTAAGGGTGGCATCAAGATAATCAGGATTGGAAGTGTGTGTTTGATCGGTTATTCGATGAGGTTTTGGTATGGTAGTTTTTGGAGCATAGGTGGTCCTTCAGGGATACAGACTTGTAACATCCTAAAATTTAAGATCGGGTTCTTAAATTAATCAATTAAATAAATGAAAAATGATTTATATAGTTAAATCATCAAGGGATAATCATATCATTAGTTGATATGAAGTTTGGAAAGTTATAGGTGAAAATAGTAACAATTTAAAGTTAAAGGGGTAAAAGTGTCAAATTTGCGAAGTTAATTGACATGATGTTAAATCATCAAGGGATAATCATATCATTAGTTGATATGAAGTTTGGAAAGTTATAGGTGAAAATAGTAACAATTTAAAGTTAAAGGGGTAAAAGTGTCAAATTTGCGAAGTTAATTGACCAAAGGGTTGACTCAGTTAGTGGAAAGGACTACTAAATTCATATAATGGATGGAGGAGGAGTTAGTATGTCAACCTTTTATATAAATGTGAAAATAATTGAAGTAATTGTAAATTTGACAAGAGTTGTAAAGTTGAGGGACTAGTTTTGACAAATAGTAAACATTACTGCTAAATAAAATGAATTATTTGGGGGTCAAAGTGTGAAAGATGTAAGTTTCCTTTTACTTATTAATTAAATGGTGTTAAATATGAGAACAAGGAAGGTTAGGGGTCATTTATGTCAATTGTCAAAAGTAGTCACTAGTTAGATGAGGTTCTCTTCATTTGAAGATAGGAGAAACGAGATTGAGTTAAAGGAACAAGGAAATGGCGATTAATATGACACAAAGGAAGATTTAGAGTATTTATTGAGGAATCAAGCTAGGAATTGAATATATGAAGCAACACCAAGCTTGGTTTCTAACATCCCTTGAGTTGTTTTGATGATCTCAATCTCAATACAATCACCCCATTGATGGATTTTAGGAATTAGGTGAAAACCCTCATGAATCCTAGAAACCTAAATTGGGGATTTTGCAATTGATAATGAAATTTGATTGTATTCTATGACCTAGATGTTGTTTGATGACATTGAATCTGATTAGAATGATCAAACACATCAATGATGGTAGAATCATGTATAAGTTAGGGTTGAAATGTTTAAGGGACAATGTGATGATACCAATGGAATACTTTGTAGTTGAGAGATTGATGGGTAAAGGAATTTCATAATTATGACTGAATACTCTTGGAATCATTTGAAATCAAAACATAAGGTGTTACTTGATTTCTAGATTGATATGTGGAATAATTGGTCATAAGGGTATTTTGGGAAATCTAGGGAAACTTATATGTTGATTGACATATAAGAAGTGAATGACATTCATGAATATGAGTTGACACTTTAGAGATGATATTGAAACATAAACATGAAGGATCTCTTGATCTATAAGCGGTTATAGTGATTGTTTGGCTATAAGGGTGATTTGGAAACATTGAATGGAATTGAGGATTCCATTGTTAGTTTATGTATTTACAATGAGATTAATAAGGGTTTATCTGCTTGACAACATTTATTTGAGTGTTTAATAAGTTAGGAACAAGCCTTGTGAGCTTTGGAATGTTCAGGTGAAAAATATACTTGTTTACCCATCTTTTAAAAACTTGAGGATCATCATGATCTTAAGGTTTCAATGAACACTTAATGTACTAACTGTAGTGTTTTAAAATGATAAAACACCTCCCAAACATATGTGAGAACCTATACAAATGGTACAAAGTGATTTGGAAAAGGGCCTTCAAGAACTATGCAAAGTATAGTGTTATTTTGAGAAAAATTGAGTTTTGGGTTTGTCCAGACATGAAAACACGGCCCATGTAAATGCATGCTTTAATTTACTCAGCCTATGTAAATCTCTAATTTGAAGATTTTCTTGTTTTCTTCATAACTTTTGCATACGAACTCGGATTTGTGCACGGTTTTCGCCTACATTCATATTTTTGGATGAGAAATGATTTGAAACAATAAATTTAGTATTTAAACCTTTGATGGTATTTTGTTCATTTTAATGACTTGTGTCCATATATGGCGTATGTAGTGTTGGAAGAGGATTGCTATTGGGAAAGGAACTAGAAGAGCACTAGCTAACCTATGTGTGATTAAGGTGAGTACGTGTTGGCAT